GGATCGAGCCCCGCATCGGGCTCCCTGCTCCGCGGGAAGCCTGCTTCTCCCTCTCCCACTCCCCCTGCTTGTGTTCCTGCTCTTGCTGTCTCTCTCCGTCAAATAAATAAATAAAATCTTTTAAAAATAAATAAATAAATAAATAAAAACATTCTTTGTTAGGAAATTGAGAAATCTGTTTTTCTTTATGGTTAGTTTCTGGAACTTTATTCTATTCCTTTGACTGGGACATATTTCCCAGTTTCTTCATATGCCTTATAATCTTTTGTTGAGGCTTAAGCATTTGAAAAAACAAACACCCTTCCCAGTCTATCCACTGAGTTCATGCAGGGTAAGATCTTCACCAATTAGCCTGGATAAAGGTTCTGGACTCTCTCAGAACTTTTCAGGGGTTGTGTTTTCTCTGGGCTTGTATCTGTGCTTTTATCTGTCTTAATTTTCCAAATGGCTTGCTTTGTTTCTTCTCAGGAGTGCAGTTTCTTGCTCCCCTGGTACCTGCCCGTGGAACTACAAAATTGCTGAAGCTCTAACATGTGGCAGTGCTCATCTCTCTTTTCAGCAACTTCCAAATTATACCACTATTCCCATCAGTGGTCTGAGTCAGGTGAGACAAAAACTATCCTTTGGGCAGCTCCCTAACAAGCCAGGGCACTGGACTCAAAGTCCACTCTTTTGTTTCCACCCTGAGGGAGGAGCTGAGGCATGTGAGGTTTCCTCCCAGTTGCACCATGCTATACTGGGTAGGGGAGGGGCATGGACACACAAAATAACCCCAAATTTCCTATTCCTTTCATTGAGTCCTTTCTTGATTATGCATTCTCTTGGGTACTGAAACTTCTCAATTGATCTCCAGAGTTTTCACAAAAGTATTCTGGTCCATATGTTTTTCTTAATTGGCATCTCCACGGGAGAACAATAGCCTGGAGCTTCCTTGTCTATCATCTTGGTGATGTTTCCCAGATCATTCTTTTTTTTTTTTTTAAGATTTTATTTATTTATTTGACAGAGAGAGATACAGCGAGAGAGGGAACACAAGCAGGGGGGAGTGGGAGAGGGAGAAGCAGCCTTCCTGTGGAGCAGGGAGCCCAATGTGGGTCTCAATCCCAGGACCCTGGGATCATGACCTGAGCCGAAGGCAGACACTTAATGACTGAGCCACACAGGCGCCCCTCCCAGATCATTCTTAAAGCCCTAAATTATTTTGCTCCAATTTGGATTGAATGCTCTCTAGGTCTACTATTCACCATGATTTTAGGAATTCTCTTTATTATTCTCTTGGATTAGATCTAGTGTTCCCTGGATCCTGTGCCTCCCTCTTTATTATGCCCCATTCTTTTGACACATACCTTTAGCCAAAGAAATGGGGTATAGGGATATTTTTTCAAGTTCCTATATGTCTTTATGTTACACTCACACTTGAATAATAGTTTGGTTGAGTTTAGAATTCTAAGTTGAAAATAATTTGTTCCATCCAAGTGCTTTGGGTGAGCAGACAGAAAGCTGGCAATTTAATTTAGGGATCCCTAAAAGTCAGAATGCAAAAGACTTTTTCTGGAATACTAACTCTATACTAGGTGCCTTTGTTTATGACAGATGGTTCATTCAATGTTTTTAGACAATAAATCCTCTGACTTTTTGCCTGAAATTAGGTAGTCTGATGACTGAACTTTCTGTACTCAAGAATGGAGAGGTTGTCAGTTCTATCTACAGACTTTCAACAAATTTACAGCCTATGTCTGACTCCAACCCTCTTATATATATTGTGTTTCTGAGTTGAAAACTCTCTGCTATAAAGGGTACATTTCCTTGCTCCTTGGCTGCATGTATTATAGCCTGTGGCTTTCTCTGCCTAGCCTCACCAGTAACAATCCTACATTTCCTTTAGTTCTTCTAGTTTTCATTCGGATCTATTGCCCTTCCCCTTATTTTCACTGCCATGGATTTATATCTTTCTCTGTTCATTTACTATTCTTTTTAATGGGATCTTAAGAAGGACAGGGATAAGTGAATACACTTAATTTTGAATTGGAAGACAGCATACACCATTTCAATAGGAATTTTTTGGTGGGAGTGGGAGTATAAGGAGGGAATAAGGGCAAAGACTTTACTATCAGATTTGCTGTCACTTTTGTTTCTTATTAACACTTGTGCAAAAGATACACCCTCATAATTGTTATGTTACCTCTTCCTCCATGACATAAGTGAGCAGCTTCCAGTCCCACTCCACTGTCTTGGCATTAGCTGGATGTAGCCTGAAAGTCAAGTGACATCAGTTAGAATTCTGGAGAGTTCAGTGGAAGAGGAGATGTGATGTGGAAGATGACAGAAACAAGAAACCTCCTCTTATCCTCACTGCTCTTGCCCATCCTTTGACATGATACCACGTCATCTGAGGGTAGTGGAACTTTCACTATTCACTTCTCTTTTGGAAGGCATTAGTACCCCAATTTTGCCTTGAAGAAATCAATTATTTATTACTCTAGCCCATTAGCTTCATCTACCACATTCCTGGGATGAAGCCTGTGAAGCAGTTAGCCAATCATGATATTCTATCCTTCAGTTCACAGTGATTGGTTTAAAAATGAGCTCATGTCCTATGTTATACCAATTAAAACCTACAAGACTCAATTTCAGAACTCTTGTGTAATTATAAAGGAAGTGGACTCTCTCATAAAAGCTGGAGCCTGAGAATACTACTATGTAGATCCTGAAAAGAGGAGCAAAGCAGGGCTGAAAAATGGATCCTGGTAACCATTTTGAACTGAATTAAGTCTTATTCCTAGGTTTCTAGTAACATGAATAATTAAATTCTCTGTTATCAGCTGTTAAAGCTAGTTTGGATTGGGTTTCTTGTCACTTGCAACCCAAATAACACTGACATACTAATCACCCTCTCTAATGGTTAGCTGAAGCAAGCTTAGGCAAGAGAAAGCTGTGCCCTGAGTCCAGGTTCCCTAGGAGATTCACCAACATCTAAGGTTCATACTGTTGAATTTTCATGAGAAGCATATAGGCCTCCTTTAGGACATCCACGGTCTCGGAGCCACTGAGCAGGATTTTCTGGATGATGTGAGCCACAATTTCTCTGGGTGGGTAATGCTGCGGTGACACAAAGTCCATCAAAAACTGCACAGTCCCCAGGGGAAAATTTTCTTCAATGGTGTTTGTTACCATTCTTAGTCTTCGATGAGGAATGGGTTCTAATTTTTGACCCTTACTCTGTAGAGATAAAAAGAAAGAAATTAAGATAGGTTTCTACAGACATAAAAACAAGAGGTTCTGAAACAGGTTGAAGACAGCAAAATTTTCCATGCATTTGAAATATTCATAATTAAACAATAAAAGGACTGAAAAGCCTTATCTAAAAAACTTTTAAGGACATGGGAAAATACTTATATTATGTTAAAAAATAAGAATTCAAGGTTGTACACATAATATGACTGCATCTGTGCTAAAATATAGTACAGAAAAGAAAGTACAAAAGAGTCAAGAGCTAGCCTAAGTTGATTTGAGTGAAGGTGAGAAGATAGGGGTAGTTATGATACTGTATCAGATTCTGAAATAAAGAGATGAAGAAAGATGTTTTAAATATGTTTTATTGTTAGGGCGCTTGGGTGGTGCAGTTGTTAAGCGTCTGCCTTTGGCTCAGGTTGTGATCCCAGGGTCCTGGAATTGAGCCCCACATTGGGCTCCCTGCTCGGCGGGAAGCCTGCTTCTCCCTCTCCCACTCCCCTTGCTTGTGTTCCCTCTCTCGCTGTGTCTCTCTCTGTCAAATAAATAAACAGAATCTTAAAAAAAAAAAAAGAATCCCACGTAGCTGATTTACTGTCAACCGTAAATGTTAAGTTGCTTCCCCTACACCCCCTAAAAGTATGTATGTAAAAAGACTGGGAGAGAATATGTGAAAAGTGGTTTTCTATTATTCAGGTGGTGGACGGAATTATGTATGATCTTCTTCTATATTCTCTTTTGTATTTTTCTACAATAGATATATGTTACTTTCATAATCAGAAGAAAAAACAGAGTTTTTTGATATTGTAATATAACAACAAGAATAATTTTTGAACATTTATCTTATCCTCACTTTAATTCTCACAACAACCTATAGATACATACTATTATTATTCCTATTGTATAGATAAGGAAACAGATTTAGAGAGAAAGCATTTGGCATGTAACAAATGGCAGAAGCTGATTTCCCACATGGGGTGGTATAGCCCCAGATCTACCCTCTAAATTCACATTACTTCTAAACACTAAAACCAACAATAAATATATTTTTGTTAAAAATCCCCATTATTAAAAAATTTAAAATGCCTATGTATAAAAAGGCAACCGAGCAGGAAATACACCAAAATTATTAACAATAATAAATGCTGACTGATAGCACCGTAATTTTTTTTAAAGATTTTATTTATTTATTTGACAGAGAGAGACACAGTGAGAGAGGGAACACAAGCAGGGGGAGTGGGAAAGGGAGAAGCAGGCTCCCCACTGAGCAGGGAGCCCAATGCGGGGCTCGATCCCAGGACCCTGGGATCATGACCTGAGCCGAAGGCAGATGCTTAACGACTGAGCCACCCAGGCGCCTCATATACTGTTTTAGAAGTTAGGGCAAAAACATAAAAAATATGAGGTGCTCAGGACAAAGACTGTTGTGCCCTTGTCTGTTCTCAAATGGTCACTCACCCAATTCATGGAAACTTTAGGGCAGCACTTTTTTTTTTTTTTAAGATTTTATTCATTCATTTAAGACTGAGCAATAATAGAGAGAGAGTGCACAAGTAGGGAGAGAGGGAGAGGGAGAAGCAGACTCCCTGCGGAGCCGGGAGCCCAATGCTGCGGGGCTCGATCTCAGGACCCTGGGATCATGACCTGAGCCAAAGGCAGACGCTTAACCATCTGAGCCACCCAGAAGCCCCGAGGGCAGCACTTTTACTCTGCCAGTACCAGGTGCTGGATTGCAGAGGCAAACAGATCTTCCCTAATGGAACTTACAGGGTATGTGTGTATACAAGAGGGGAACCATCAGATATTAAATTATAAATTTAAAAATTCAGTGTTGTGAAGAAGTACAAAGTGCTGTTCAGTATCCCTAGTGCAATATCACTTAACAGTACCCTCTATGGTCATGGTCTCCCTACTGCCTTTCTCTGAGCCTCTTTTACTGTGTCTCTCTGCCAGTCTTTTTCTATTTTTCTCTCTTTCCTCCTCTCACTCTCTCTGGATGAGACTGAGACTGGGTGGCTCAGTCGTTAAGCGTCTGCCTTTGGCTCAGGTCATGGTCCCAGGGTCCTGGGATCGAGCCCCCTGCTCCGCAGGAAGCCTGCTTCTCCCTTTCCTAGTCCCCCTGCTTGTGTTCCCTCTCTTACTGTCTCTCTCTCTCTCTGTCTCTATTAAAAAAAAAAACCTGAGAATAAGTATTAAATTTAAAACATCAACCAAAGATTTGACAGCTTATGTATAACAGTAAAACAATGATGACTAGAATTGTCCTTTCAGAAAATCTTCTGGAGAAGTCCAGTGAGCTTTCCTTATGTCTCAAATCACCTGAGGGTAACCCCTGATCTTACTGATCAAAGACCAATACTATACCTGGCATGTAATGAAAATTAAGAGCCAGCAACGAGAAGGACAAAATATCTTGCTTTGGTGACTATTTTACTTGTGAGACACTTTACCTATATTTGAACCTATATTATTCATTTCTTGCCTACAAATGGGGACATCTACAAATAGATAAAGTTTACAAATTCTTTTGATGCCCATCTATTTAAGGGGAACTAATACTTAATAAAACATTTCTTTAGGCCTTGAAAGGTGGCTCTGTGCTTTATGTGTTTACTTTTAAGTCAAACAACTTTATGATATGGTTATTATGACTTATTTTAGAACTAAACCAAGAGAGACTCAGAAGACTTAAGGCCTATGGCTGGTAAGTGGCAGATGGGGACTGGCTAAGAAGTCCTGGGAGGAAAATGACCTAGTGAAGAAGTACTTATTAAAAGCCCAAAAGAAATCACAGAAGAGACAGAAAAGATTTACAGATGAACTTTAGATGGCCAAGGTTCTTTAAAGTAAGAAATTAAGAAGAAAAATCCCTTTTGTTTGGCCTAACTGCCATCTTTGAACCTAAGCTATGTTTACACAGGAAGGCAATGTGGTATCCGCATTTGCATCTACTGGCGCTTCTCTAGTTGTGCGGCACCTACAAAGCACTACAGTCTTGACCAGGGAAACACAGACTCTCTCAAGTCTCCCAAGTGCTCTTTATAATGTTTGTTATCACCAGGCAAACCCATAGGAAAAAAGAGAATGGGCTAGTGGTTGGAGAGAGTCATTCAGAAGGAGAAGAGATAAAACATACCAGAAGCTATAACAACAATAAAAATGAGAGAAAAAAATGCACTCTTCAAGGCCATATCAATGTGAATGCCTGATACATACTACGCTGGATTGCTGATTGCTCCAAAAATGCACCTTTTGAATTCCTGGCCTACCTCAAGCCAGTCTTCTTAATGTTGAGAATATGGTTATGGATAATGAAAAAATAGCTTCCTATTGTAGGACTCAGCCACAGATTTTTTTCCTTACATCTGCTAAGAAAAGCATCTGGTTTAGTTCGCATAACTAAAAAAGACCAATGGGAAGTAGCAGTCCCATTAAAATCTTAAAATTGAATTTCCTCCCCAAAAGTCAGAAAGTAATAATTTTGGAGGCACAGAAGTGTCCAGAGTATCACTATCTCTGTGCTATGGGAGCGGTAATAAGGGCATCAGGAAGGGAAAGGCATAGGAATTGAAGAGAAGTATTTGATGAAAGCCTATAATGAGCCAGACACTCTAATAGGCACTTTATATATGTCATTTAATGATCCTGTGAGGTGTGTTCTTATCTCCATTTTACATCTAGGAAAGCAGGGCTCAGAAAGGTATAGTGAGTTCTACAGTGCCAGTTGCTAACTGTGGGGCTGAAATCTGAACCCAGGTCTACACTAGATGATTCCACAAGAGGAGGAAAGATAAAAATATCGAATTCATCCTGGGCCTGTTCTCTCATGCATGGACTCCTTACAGCATAGTGACTTCATGCAAGGCCTATACAGAGGACACCTAATCTCTAGGGGAAGATATGTTAGCTCACCTCTCTTGTGTCTTTATCTGGTATTAGTGTCTGGAAGAAGAGGTGATGCACCGGAGGTCGTAAGAAGTACTTCAGTCTATGCAGGCATGGTCTGTTGTATAACCCACCTTGCGGTGTTCGTGCTTGTACCTGGGCAGACCCGGGGTTAGCAGGCTCTGACAGTGATCTCTCTTTTCTGGCTGGAGTTTCTGTGACAGAGAGACAAGGAACCTTCTCCAAGGAAGTTTCAGACTGTGGAGACCGTATGCTGGGAGAGAACATTGGAGAGGATGGAGCTGAGACTTCCATAGGAGTGTCACGGTTATGTATATCATTTTGGAGAGAGTAAGCCCTGTCTCGTGGTAAGTGAGGCAAGTCTCCAAGTGAGTGTGGCATGTCTCCTGGCAAGCATGGCATGTTTCCAGGTGAATGGAGCATATCTCCTGGTAAGTCTGGAACTTCTCCAGGGGAATGTGGCACACTTTCTGGTGACTGTGGTGCATCTCTTGGTGACTGTGGCATGTCTGCTGGTGACTGTGGCATGTTTGCTGGTGACTGTGGCATGTGTCTTGGTGACTGTGGCACGTGTCGTGGTGACTGTGGCACATCTGATGACTGAGGCATATCTTGTAAGTGTGCCACATCTTGTGGATATGATATGTTTTGAGGTGGGCCTGGTACATCTTGAGGTAGGCCCAGAGAGTCTTGAGGTGGGCACAGTGAGTCTTGAGGTGGGTTGGGTAAGTGCTGAGGTTGCCACGATGAGTCTGGAGGTGGGCTTGGCACATTCTGCTGAGGGCATGGCATATCTTGAGGAGGGCATGGAACTTCTTGAGGCAGGGGAGGCAAAACTTGTACTTGGCACTGCACAGTTTGTGATGGGCATGACAAGGCTCGTGGTGGGCACGAGGAGGCTCGTGGTGGACATGGTGAGGCTCGTAGTGGGCACGTCAAGGTTCGCAGTGGGCATGGCAAGGCTTGTGGTGGGCAAGGCACAGACACATCTTGCTGTGGGCATGGCAAGGGTGCCCTCTGATTGCTGCTGCTACCATTATTGCTTGATGGGGAGAGGGAGTGAATATCTGAAGATAGCTGGA